TGTGAGAAGCTTGTGGAAGGAAACCCAGAACGTTTGACCCAAAGTCATAGAGTTTAAAGGCAACGCTAGCAGATACTGAGGAGATGGATGGAAACTTCTGACTCTGAAGAAAGTGAGAAAAGATTGTCTCCTAACTGACCTGAAACAGGAAACGTTTGGATTTAATGTGAGAACAAAAGGTTTTCTGTCTTTTTCTATGGTGGATGTAAACTTCTGGTTCCAGCTGGACTTCAAGGTTCTGGAACTATTCACAGTATGAAGGTAGAACATCTGGTTTCTGCTGGAGGAGGATCCAGATTGATCACCTTAATGGACTTTTTCCATAATTTGAGCCTCAGAACTTCATCAGTACCGTTCCATCAGCTTTTTGTTTTACTCGTTCTGGACAAACTGAACAAGTTTTCCGTCACTGTGGACTCTGAGTGAAACACCTTCAGGACGTGGAGCCTCCAGTCGTTGTCTCCGGCGTTGGACTCGCTGGTTCCTGCTTTTTTCATTTCACTGTTAAATAACCAAAGAATCTCCACTTTGGTTTTTTCTCAGGGTTAATTAATTTAGATCGTCGTTGGTTAATTAAATATGAACGTTGGCTCGTTGTGGAGCTCGTTAACATCTCGTTGAACCGACTCATTAAACGGCCTGAACTTTGACCCTCTGAACTGCCTCCAGTGGTTCTGCTGTAAACATGCTGCTGCTAATTAAGACTCAAGCTTCCCTCTGGGACCGGCGCCGTGATTAATCTGTTGCCGTGGCGGCAGCAGTTAATTAGGGACATGAATGAGGAGGAGATGGATGAGTGGGAACAGGTCCGCTTTATTGAGAACTGGGTCAGAGCGGCTCGGTGGTGTTGCTGCGCCGCCTGCTGGTGGAGTTGAGCTGCTGCAGCGAGGCGGCAGGAGTCACGGTGACGGCCGGTCCGGAGACGTCGCTCGGCTCGGTTCTGTTGGCGGCGCCGAGGTCGGAGGCCATGTTTGGGTTTCCGTCGTCGTGCTGCTTCGCTTCTCCTTCGGTTTCATGTTTCAGAGAGTCTGGTGACGAAGAAGAAAAGAAAAGATCAGACGAGTTCGTTTGTCTTCAGCTTTCAGAGAAACACAAAGAACGACAACAGACATGACAATAAAACACAGAATATATGTTAGAATAAATATATATAATGATAAAACGGTTTGCTCGTCTCTCTGTGGTCACTCTGAGTCTCTGTTGACAGTTTGTCTCTTTTTATAGAACAGAATATAAAATGCTTTTATCAGCATCACACACAAAGTACGACGACGTTGAACTTCAGTGGTGCAAAACACTAGTAGAGAAGAAATAAGAATATAGAAATATATATTTACAAAAGGAGCCAGTTCATACAGTTTATTCTAGAATGAATATTTGACACTGATGAGGTGAGAACACTGTGGCGGATATATGAGGAATATTAATATGTATATTGGTTATTTGGTGACTTTTTATTAGTTTTCTGTGGTAACTTTGTGCATCTTTGTGTTTGTTTTGTGCCTTTTGGTCTTTTTGTGTCTCTTTTTAGTAGTTTGTTGTGTTCTTGTGTTCATTCTGCATCTGTTTGTGGTTGTTTTCTAACTTTTCTGGTCATTCTGTGTCCATATTTGTGGTCTTTTTGTGTCTCTTATTGTTAGTTTTGTGTCTCTTTGTGGGATTCTTTTCCTCTTTTGGTAGCCATTGTGTCTTTTTGTGTTCATTTTGCATCTCGGTGGTCATTTTGTGTCCTTTTCATCATTATTTTTCTGTGTTTGTGTCTCTGTCATCTTTTTTTTTCCTCTTTGTGGTCATTTGATGTCTTTTTGTATTCATTTCTATCCCTTTGTGGTCATTTGTGCATCTCTTAAAGTAGTTTTCTGTCTTTTTTGTTGATTTTCCACAGCTTTGTCGTTATTTTGTGTCCTCTTTGTGATCCTTTTTTCATTCTTGTGTCTCTTTGTCAGGATTTCATTTCCCTTTGTGGGTATCTGGCGTCTCTTTGTTGGTCACTTTCTGTACTTTTGTGGTTGTTTTGCATCTTTGTGGTCATGTTGTGGTCATTTTGTGTTGTTGTGTGTTGTGAACGTACCACAGTCGTAAAGCTTTCGGACTCTCTGGATGTCGTTCTCGGTCATTTTCGCCCTCTGTCCCATCCCCTTCACGTCGTCGTTGGCGACGATGGTGGGCAGACCGTTGGACGAAAAAAACCCGCTGCCATACAGGAACAACAAAAACAACGTTTACAGAACCAATATAAAACCTAAACTCTTCACCAGTCGTTATTTGGGACGCCTACCTGCCGTAGTGCATGATGGACGTGGTGTCGTACGGGAGGTCAAAGGTTTGGCCCGAATACTTTTTGAAGTTGCTCTCCATCCCTGAAACACATCACACAGTTTAAAACACTGGTTCTGTAAAGAGATATAAAATAATCCATATGTTGTAAATGAACAACATCAGGGACCCACCTGGAAAACGCTGCTTTTCAAGGAAGACAAATTCTGTTCAAGATGTCGGTCGTTGGCAGTAAATAAAAGTCAAAGTGAGTAAAGACTCCTCAAGACTTAAAACTGATCTCTGACCAGTTAACTAACCACCTATCAGGTGTTTAAGAGGCCGTCCTGAGGTCCTTCCTCAGGTGGTTCTACGACCTCTAACAGCTCCAGGCAGGTAAGAACGAACTGAACAAGCCTCTTGGAAGAAACTTCAACAACCAAAGAGACGTCCGGTTCTACAGATGTATTCATGATCATTATACGACGTCTTTCCACTGCAGCGACCAACATTTACAGGAACGACCACATAATCTGCTTTTTGATTCCACTGCTGTTGGATCCCAGAACTCTTGGTGTCCTGAAACAACTAATTATCGTTACTGGACTCCAGCTCTATGCAGGAAATCAAACAACAGAGGTTCACTGTGCTCGCCTGTTTGGTGACGTTTACATTGATGATGGTGTCAGAGGAGAGACAACTGGACATAAACCGGGAAATAAATCTGAAGTTCGTCTCCAGTTTAACCATTTAGAAGTTTTCCAGGGACGGTCAGAAGGACCTCCACTGGAGTAAGGAGCTGCTTTCTACCCAAAAAAAAAAACTGTCTTGAAAGAGGTTCTACAGGGAAAGTTCTTCAGATTAAAATATACACAAAATGTTTGCCTTCAAATGGCCTGAAAACACCTGCAGAGGAAAACATTTCACAGTCCTGATGAGTTATTATTCCCCCGATTCAATCAGAGTCATTTCATATTTGCCAACGTCTGATAGCGTTTTGATAAATAACACGCCCTGCAGGTTATCTGTAGTACCTGGTTGATCCACCAGGTGGCCTCCTATTGTTTCCTACTGGAGAGACCAGAGGAGGTGGGCAGCAGAGAGCATTGTGGGAGTTTAGCTCGCAAAGGGGCACCGAGACAACCTCCAGGACACGTCACTAGTGGTGAATATCTACTGAATAAATCCGCACAAGACGAGTCACCACTGGTTCAGTTTGAATAAAATGATTCAAATTTGCAGCACTTGTGCGACATCAGACTTACATAAAGGATCAGACGTATGTTCTAGTTAAAGTACACCTCAATCCGACATCTCTAGTTAATAATAAACTATAATTAGGTATGAAAAACGGTTTATGCAGGAAAAACTATCTAAAATATCATCTGACCTCCAAGTGTTGCGTTTGTATCGAAACACCTTTTCTGTAAATCTTGTCCCTGATAAATAAACTCACTTATTGTAGTTTTTAAAAAAGCTAAAACTGTCCCTGAATCTACTGGAAACTAAACATGTTTAAACCAAAAACTACTGAAAATGATCAAACCCTCTCTAGAAACTAAACTGAAAATGAAAAATGTGATAATGAAACAAACGACTGCTTATCGTACGTCACTGTTAAATACGTGTTCACATGTTCAGGCTTTGTCCAGGTCCATGCACCAGTTTGTTCCTTTTCTGCATCAGTTTATCGTGGAAATGTCCCGACGTACAGGAAACACCACATATAGCCAGAGTTTGGGAGCCATGACGACGACAATAAATTCACAAAAAAATAAAAATCAGGAAAACTTTTACATTTTTAAAAGATTTGCACCAATGAACCGAATTAGCCGTTAGCATCTCCTCTTTGTCAGCTATCCATCACTGGTCTCTGTTTTTTAATCTCTAAATGGATTTCTGGAACCCTTCACGGTTCTTCTGAGCCGAGGTGATTCACCTGGAGGCCCAGTGAGCAGACCAGGTGTTTCTGAGTGTTAGCGTTACCTGGCATGATGTTTTTGGACAGGATGGTGATGTAGCGCTCGCGGTCCGTCCTCGTGTGCTCGTGGTGGAAGCCCAGAGCGTGAAGGACCTCGTGGACGATGTTTCCCACGATGCACGGCGGCGCCACAAACACCGGCTGCTTGCCGCCCCTGAAGCCCACGAAGGACGCGCAGCTGGAGGAGCAGATTAACGAAGCTGCAGGTTGACCTCATGTTTCAGAGCGAGACGTTCGTTTACAGTCCAACAGAAGATTAAAGCTAACGAGGAAACTGATTCATAGATCCTGGACGAGATCCCAGTCAGTTAAGACCGGAGAGTTTTACCGAAAGCAAAACCAGAGGAGCTGTGATTCCAACCAGCCTGACGGAGATAGTCATTAAAGTTATTTCTAAATCAGCCTTTCATCTGGACAGAAGCTGGTCTGTACTGTGTGAACAACTGAAGTATGAATAAGAATAAACTCTGCTGCTGTAGGAACCAGCTGACATGTTAGGGTTGTGGAGGTTCTTCTAACTTTCCATGTTGGAGCTACACGAGGAACTGAAGTCAGAATTCAGAACTTGTCAAGATAACGGTAGCCACACTGAGCTAGTTGAGCCGACGGTCTGTCACAGGTCTCCAGTGAGCAGATTTAGTCCCAGAAAACCAGCTCATTCACGGGTTTCTGACGTTTACATTCACAAATATGATCCATTTCTTATCCAGAGTCTGTCTCTGTGAACTAATTTCCAACTTTCTTCTACTCAGCAATGTTCTCCAGCTCCTCCTGGAGGATCCTGAGGTGTTCTCAGGCCAGATGAGATATAAACCCCCCAGATAGTTCAGGTTCTACCCTGGGCTCTCACCTGGAGAACCTCCAAAGGAGCATCCAGGAGGCCCAAAACACCTCAGGTGGCTCCTATTGATTCTATAGAGCAGCGACTCTCCTCTGCTGTGTGGCTCCTCAGTCAGAACTCGATGTGGAAGTCCGTTAACCTTCTACAGGAGGTGAATACTTTCTATGGACGCTCCAGCTTTTATAAACCCAGCTGTAGAAACTCTACGTACCCTGTGCTGGGTTTGAAGAACAGGTAATCGGCCTCCGTGGTTCTCTGGTGGAAGGTCACGCAGGTGTGCTTGGACACCATCGCCAAGGCAACGAGGATGTCGTCAGTGCGGCCGACTGGAAAACAAAGCGACTGTGAAGCAGCGACTCCATCGAGCATCAACCGACGGCGCCGGCTCGGCTCCTTACCCAGATCTGAGCTGATGGCGTACGGGATCTTCTTGGTCGGCCACCGGTTGTTCACAGCGTTCCTGTCGCTCTGCACGGAGTTAAAACATCAATAAAACACGTCGACGTCATCCACAGGTTGAAGATCAGACTCCACCAGTGTCACCAGTTAGAATCTGAAGGACTTCACTCACCGATAGAACCATGTCTCCCTCCAGCAGGGCCAAGTCCTTCGACATCAGCTCTGGAAAATATGAAATATATTAAAAGTTTCTTCATCTGGTTGTGAAGCTGGAAGATTCAACAGAAGGAGAAGAAGAAGGAGAAAGAGGAGAAGGGAAGGAGTAGGAGAAGAAGGAAGAGGGGGAGGAGGAGAAGAGGAGGAGGAGGCAGAGAAGAAGAAGGAGAAGAATGATAAGGAAAGGAGTAGGAGAAGAAGGAAGAGGAGAAGAAGAAGGAGAAGAAGGAGGAGAAGGAGAAGGAGGATAAGGAGGAGGAGGAGGAGGAGAAGAAGGAGAAGGAGGAGAAGGAGGAGAGGAAAAAGGAGAAGAAGGAGGAGAAGAAAAAGGAGAAGAAGGAGGAGAAGGAGGAGAAGGAGGATAAGGGAAGGAGTAGGAGAAGAAGGAAGAGGGGGAGGAGGAGAAGAATGAGAAGGAGGAGAAGAAGGAAGAGTAGGAGGAGGAGGCAGAGAAGAAGAAGGAGAATCTCTCATGTAGAAAACAAGTCACAGAACAAACATCAGTTCTTCTGATTGCCACTAATTGCCTCTAATGATAGAAACATGTTTACAGGATTAAACTAAACCGAATCATCTAGTAAATAAAAACAACATCAGTGAAATTAAGCTGAACTTGAACTTTATTCTTAAGTCGAATTTGTCTTCAAAAATGGAGCCGAGATGTTTATTTATCGTCTGTTTCTGAGGTTTTAATCATATTTTTATGCAAAAAGTTAAAGTTTAAAGTGTCATGAGGTTCCCCTCGTTGTTCGGGTTCGAGTCAAGGTTAGGTTTAGGATCAGGGTTTGGGTTTGGGTTCAGGTTAGCAGTACCACCGACCTTGCAGCGTCTCCGGGTCTGAGTCCATGTACTGCTTCGCCCTGCTGATCCCGTCCTCCTGAGCTGCTGCACAAACATTCACACAATCACACAAACGTCCAAACGTTCCTCACCAAGCTTCAGCATCACAACAACCGTCACCTTGTCCCTGGTCTGGTACCGGACCGCAGCGCCCTGAAACACAGCGTACAGATGAAAGCCTCCGTCAGAACAGAACCTGCAGCAGACTGAGGTTCTGGTTTCTCACCATGTCGGAGGTTTTCTGCCAACAGAAGCGTGACAACGAGCAGCTGCAGCATGTCGACTGGAGTCCGGCAGCGAACTGAAGCTGCAGATCTGGAAACCTCGTCAGTCACAAGTGGGACCAGCTGTGGAGCTCCGGACCTGCTTCAGGCCCAGATGCAGCTTCTCACTGATAAACCCCTCGAAACCGGGCCAAACAATCAGAGGAAAACAGTTTAAAGTTTGGAGTTTAAAGTCCAACTAATAAGCTCAGATAAAGCAGTTAAAGACCAAAGCTTGTATTTAAAACACATAAAAATACTAAATAAACCAAATAAAATCCAATTAAAGCTCCACAAAATACAATCACATGAATAAATACGTGTTGATTAGAGATTTTTAACTCTTATATTAATTAAATCTTGTTTTATTTGAAGGTTTGAGCTTCTTACATGTGAAGGTTTTTCTACTTTTCTTTCATTATTTGAAGTTTTGAGTCATTCTGACATTAACTCCTGTCAGCTTTCTGGACTATATTCAGCTTTAGTTTACATATTACATGAAGGAAACATTGATTTATTGATTATTGATTATGTAGATGGTTCATGCATAATGGAGGTAGAACAAATATCAAACTGGTTCAACCAGAAATGATTTGCCAACTATTGTGATATTCATTTTTTTCCTTCAATAAAAACAATCTTCTTCTTATTATATTTATATCAAATAATCTACATTTACCAACAAATCCTGCTGTCGCATTAATAAAGACATTTAAAAAATAATTATAAATACCTCCTTATAAACAAAAAGCTCCAATAAATCACTCTGGAACAAAACATGTTCACGTTTCTGCTGTTTTTTGTTGTTGTTTTTAAATTAAATCTTTTCGTTTTTCTTCCAGCAGCCTGCAGGAGCTCCGAGCAGCAGGGGGCGCTGACACACCGAGACCGGAAGAGGAAGAAAACAAAGAGACCGTAGAAGAAGAAATGACTTCCGGTTAAAAACACAAACACACGTGAGGAAAAAACCCTCTGAAGGTAACTTGGATTACTTTTCTACTTTCTTTAGCGTTACTTTTACCGCCGTTCTGTCCGCACAGAAGCTGGTTCTTGTTTCTGCTTCATGTCCGAACCGAACAATCCGCTGATTTTATAGAAACGGTCCGGAACCGAGGGTTAGCAGCTAACGGCTAACGAGGCTAGCTGTGTGTTTAGCTAACGATAATAACGTGAGGTTCAGACAGTTTACTGTTGTTTTAACGTGTTTTTAATGTTCTTTCATGGTTCTGTCGGTGTCGTTGTGTTGAAACCAGCCTGATGTTCAACAATAAGACGTGAAACTCGCCGGTTGTTGGACTCTTTAAGCTGATTTTAACATCTGAGTGATGTGATATTAGTTTAAATGAACTGTAGCTACAATAGAACCGAACCAGAACAACGAGGTGAAGGTTTGTTGGTCTGAGAACGAGTTAATCATCACAGAAATACTGTTTAAACCAGCTGTCTGCTGTGAGAAGCCTTCAGTCAGCACGAGAAACTGATGTTTATGCTTTAAAGAGTCAAACAGTCAGGGTTAGATTAAAAAAATAAAAATAAAAAAAAGAAGCTGTGAGGCTTCTTAATAAGTATTTTTGGGAAATTAAAAAGAAAAAGAAAAATTGACAATATTTTCTAACATTTTATTAATATTTTAAGGCTTAAAAAACATTTTATTCATATTTTCTGACTTTAAAATATTGTAATATTTTTTAGTTCTGTATCAGATATTTTATTCATATTTTTCAGGCATTTTAAAGTTTTTGAGACATTTTAATAAAATGTTTTGCTTTTAATGTTTTTGGATATTTGTCGATATTATTTAACAGAATTTTTTATGAATATTTCCTGAAATGTTATTATAATAATTTTTTAGATTTCTTTAAATATTCTTTCGGCATGTTTTAAAAATATCATTATTTTGTTTGAGAATAATATTGTTTATGTTTTTCAGGCATTTTATTAGTTTTTAATCTCTGAAAATCCTCTGGTTTGTCTCTTGAACCTCTAAAAATCTGAAGACTTTCTCCTCCGTTGCAGCGACCCGTCATGACGAGGTGGGCCAGAGCCAACAACGTCCACAAACACAAACCAGCCGAGGCGACGCCCTGGAGTCAGCTGAGAGGACGAGGAGGAGGTCGAGGAGGACGAGGAGGAGGAGGAGCTCATGGAGGTCCTGGAGGTCAGAGGGACCCTCTGAGGAGAACACAACCCGACGGTTCCTCTGTGAAGAAGCCGAACCGTAAGAAGAAGGAGTACGTGGACGAGGATGTGAACGGCTTCCTGCAGTACCTGCAGCAGAGCGGCCGGTCGCTGCCTTCAGGAGGGACGACGGCCGACAAGGAGCTCCGGCAGGACGTGGAGGTGGCGCTGAAGAAGGACCGGAGGAGGGAGGACAGAAGGTTAAAGAGGCAGAACGACAAGAAGAACAAGATGGTGAGTAGTCCAGCTCCAGACGTCCCACACAAGACCTGAACCCGCAACAAAGAGTGAAGCTTTCTAACAAGAGGAGACAGAGTTCACTGATTAAACCAGTTCAACTAAAGTCTGGATCCTCTGAGCTTCTAAAACTAGAACTTAGTCTTCAGGTCTCAGAGGAGCTTAATCAGGTTTATATTTATTGTCTGACTGTTGAGGGCAGAAGAGACGACAACAGAGTTTCTGATGTTTGGTGAAATGTGACTTTAAATAAATGTTTTGTTGCAGTTTGTCGACGTGTGTCGGTCCAGTTACTGATTAATGGTTAATATTAGTATTATTACTGTAGCTGAGGCCCGGTAACATGCTGGACCTTCTTCTGTCCGCAGCTCTGCTTCAACTGCAGGAAGCCCGGTCACGGTCTGGCCGACTGTCCGGAGGCCGAGCGGGACGAGGAAATGGGTCGAGACATCTGCTACCGCTGCGGATCCACAGAACACGAGATCCACAAGTGCCGAGCCAAAGTGGACCCGGCGATGGGTGAGTGTGGCGGCCGGAGGAACCCGTCCAGCGCCTGGTCCGAGCTGCTCTGACCTCTGTTCTGTTTCAGGTGAATATCCGTTCGCCAAGTGCTTCATCTGCGGCCAGACGGGTCATCTGTCCCGGTCCTGCCCCGACAACCCCAAAGGACTCTACGCTACAGGTACCGACGGCAACGTTTACCGGGTTTTATTTCATGAACTCATAGGAGCAGGTCCAGTTCTGGAAGCTCTGATGGAACCTCGTTGGATTATTTTAATGAGCAGAGATTCTGAAAACATGCAGCTGAGTTCAGACTAAAGAACTAATCAGCAGATTTTAATGAGTCGGATCAGAATCGGAGCCGGAAATCAGGATTTCTGTCAATAGTTAGTTTTTGGACATTTCATTTATTTTTTAGACATGTTTTTATTTTTGTTTTGTTTTTTTTAATCTCTATTTTTATTTTTAATATTTTCCCAATATTTTCAGATGTTTTAGTTCTGTTTTTAGGCATTTAAAAAATAAAATAAAAATAAAATAAAAAACATACTTTTAAAATATACATATATATATATGTATATATATAGATTTTTTTTTAAATGTCTCTTATATTTTAGATGTTTAAAAATCTATATTTTCAGACATTATATTATTTTTAGGCATAAAAAAAACCATACTTTAAATTTTTTATTTTTCAAACATGATTTTTATATTTCAGATACTTAAAAATATATATATAGCTGCCAGATATTTTATTAATATGTTTTGGACATCTTGGGGCATTTTATTGTTTTTGAATATTTGCTAAAATTCTTCCATAATTGTTTTATTTTCTTTGGATTTTCTATAAATATTCTATAAAGACATTTTCTGGACTTTGTGTTTAATAATTCTTATTAATATATTTTTAGGTATTTTATTCATTTTTTCAGACATTAAAAATATATTTCTAATACTTTTTTCTACACGTTTCCAGCCTCTTATGACTGTTTTCAGACATTTTATTAATATTCACTTTTTTTTATAAATATTTTTTTTGTCGTTTTACTTTTTATCAAAAACGTTTTTAAAACCTCGTCAGAGCTGCAGGTCGTTAATCAGGTTTTAATAAAGTGGATTAATTATGTCGTTCTTCTCCGTCAGCTGAACTGACTTCTGATTATTGGTGATTGATATTTCCAGCTGTGATTGCTCCGTATTGATCTGTGATTGGTGAACGTATTGATCTGTGATTGACGGCCTGTCTGTGCGTCCTCAGGCGGCTGCTGTCGGGTTTGTGGTTCGGTGGAACATTTTCAGAAGGACTGTCCAGAACATCAGGCTGCCAGTGAGTGTTTCAGTCCTCAACCTGAAGGCTTTATTGATTATTGATCGACTATCGTCTAACGTGTTTTGCTCTTCCAGCCAACTCTGTGACGGTCGGCTGGTTGTCCAACAACATGAGCGCCGACCACGAAGACGTCCACGTCCCGGTGACCAGAACCAAACCCAAGCAGGTCAAGGTGGTGAAGTTCTGATCCGACGGACCGGACCGGACTCGTGATCGGACCGATTGACCCTCGTTAACAGGCCGAGGAACGTCGTGTTTGTGTGTAAAAAAAAAAATAAAACTCTGTTAATAAAGAATTTATATGAAAACAGAAATCTGATGAATTATTACGGAAAATTTAAAACCTGTTTTTCTTCTGATCCTGAAAAAACACATTCAGACATTTTATTTATATTTTTAGGCTTTTTTTGACGAGTTTAAACAAATCTTTTTATAATATTTCCATTTGTTAAGACATGTCTCTCCGGTATTATATTAATATATATGAGACATTTTTATAAATATTTTTGGGCATTTAAAAAAAA